TGGGGTATGCAGAAAACTGCATAATGATGAACTTAAAAATTTTCACTCATCCCCCAGTATTGTCAGGGTGATTAAGTCAAGACGGTTGAGATGGGCAGGGCATGCGGCATGCATGGATGGGGCAAGAGGTGTTCTCCAGGTATTGCCGGGAAGCCTGAAGGGAAGAGACTACTAGGGAGATCTAGTGGTACATGGGAGGTTAATATCAAGCAGGATCTATGGGAGAGAAGTGTTGAAAGTGAATGGATTTTATTGGCCCAGGACAGGGACCATGGAGGGCTTAGGTTAATTCGGTGATAAACCTTCAAGTTCCTTAAGCCATCTAGTTAGTAATTATAAACGGTCAATTTTGAAGACTGGCTGATTGCCCTCTTTGTTATAAGTTACTGCTGAAGTGCCATGCTTGCCATATTGCTTCAGACTGATTTCTACCGACAGTTTGTGGAAATACAGGCATGGCTATTGTTGGAACTGTCGACAGTAGTCTTTGATACTGACCCATCAATACTAATAGTCCTTAAAACTTGAGTTTTTACAGATTTTCATTTAATAGAATATTGTCTGTGGTACACGTTTTTTTCTCTCTTGTTAAAGATGCAAATGTAAAGGACCTGTATATACCCCCATGACCTTAGAGTTGTTTAGTTTTTCTGGCATTGTCCAGTAAATGACTCATCTCTTGGTATGCAGTCTACTCTTCTCATAGAGTCTTTGGTATTACAAATGGGACCTAGACTGTCATACTCTTTCACCTGTTTCAGACTATCTAGACTCAGAATCACTTATAACACTTCTAGAGCATGTACTGCTATGTATATTTGGACCCCCTTCATCATAGACATTAGTGGACTCTGAAAAATTAATTTGGTCATCAGCCTATGCATCAAAATAAACATCTGGAACCATTTCTTCTTAATGAAACACTCTCACGTTACAAGCCACCTGAGAGTCTTTCATCGACTTCAGTCGCCACGGTAGCTTCACTTTATACACTTCTTCTTAACCTGAAATTTCACTAGGCCTCTTCATGATATATGCTTGCAGCAGCTGAGCAAGAACTGCTGTAATCATGCATGTGCGTCTTTGGTTAGGATACAGGAAATATACTTGACTCTGTTTATGGCTGGTGTTGATGCTACGTTTGAGTATAATTTGATGAATTTGTTTAGGTAAATGTTTATCAAGGGAAGTATGTGTTCAAAACAATGAAATATTTATGATTTGAGGTTTTCACAGCGGTGAGTATGACGATTTCTGTCATCTGGGTTGTTGCGCCATGTAGTATGGTAGACCTGATGACGGAGGCAGTATGACCTCTGAAACGTAGGTAAACATCTATCATACTACGCAGGTAACAACCCAGAAGACAGAAATCTTCAATGAAGTATTCGTCAGCTGGTCATTCCTGACTAAGTTTCAGCTGACTTTTAATGGTTATGAAGCAGAGGTGTGGACTGGCACATTGCATTCTGTATGCATAAAGGAATTTGCTGCAAATCATAGGCTGTGAATGTTATGATCATCACTATCTGTATACAGTATACTGAAAAAAGATCTGTATCGTCTGGTTAGTTACGTGAAGTATGATGGTGGTTGGCTATTGTGACGATAGCATTAAAGAATGGAGTTGGTGATCTTGGGTTCCATTGTTATGGGTTTGTATCCATTTTGCACATCATTGACTCTGACATAAGCCATATGAAAGGACTTCACACCCAGCTAATCTTCAGGTTATTCCTGTTTGTTTATAGGAAGAAAGAGCATAATAGTAGCAAGGTACAAAATGTTTATATTAATTTTTTCCACCTCCCCAGATCTATTTGATTCTGTGTCACAAAGACAAAACAAGAGGAAGCTGTCATCAATAAGCTTGGCTCATAAAAGACAGAAAGTAGAAGGTAATTTAAAGTACAGAACCAAGAATGAAATGAATTCAACAATACAGAATAAGTCAAAAAATAAACAAAAGTTTTCTAGAGTTGGCACTGTTCAGAAAAACAAGTTCATCAAGAGAAGTGTGTTTGGTGGTAAAACATCAATGAAGAATAGGCACTGAGCAAAACATCAATTTATAACATTTGTAAATCACTTTAATTGTATGGCATATGGTCATATCAATAAACACTCCTAGATAAGCATGTATTCCATGTGAATCAGAAGTACAATTTTTTCATTTCCTGGATTCCAAAATGAGGTTCGCAGCATGTGCCAAATCATCTACGACTGCATCAGGATGTACTGTTGGGTGTTTCTCATCTGATGGGCGATACTTCCCTGTTCTTACCAACACACCAGTCAGTCCACAGTCCTGTGCACCTCCTACATCTGATACCACATCATCGCCAACCATCACTGCCTCCTCAGGTTCAACTCCCATATCTTTCAGTGTTGACCTAAAAAACTCTGGCTGTGGTTTACCTATAATTTCTGCCTTGACATCAGCAGCATATTCAAGTGCAGCTGTGAATGCACCCACATCCAACATTAAACCTTCCTTGTCACTGTAATATCTCCCTCGCCCAAGTGAAAATAGTCGAGGCTTTTTCATGTTTATGAGAATTCCGAATGCTTCATTCAGGTGTTCGTATGTGAAATTTTCTGCAGCATCCCCAAGCACAACACAGTTTGGATTACTTTGATCAATGCCTTCAAACTCTGGTAATACATTGGAATGCACCAACAAATGTGGTCTCAAGTTTTCTCGTTGAAGAAATGAAATCAGTGCAGGACAGGGGGAAACAATGTCCAATTCCTGAACAGGGTAACCTAAATCCAAAAGATTTTCTGCTAATGCGCGGCGAGTTACTTGAGTTTCATTAGTCACTAGTCTAATCTTCAGTCCGGCTTCACGTAGTTTTCGAACTGCTTCAACAGATCCATGAATTGCTGTTCCTCCGTCTTTCAAAACGCCAGTAACATCTAGCAGAACACCATTAAGTCGAGGATTTTTTAATAAATTCATTTTCCTACCACTATTTCGCAAACAAAATAACTTATAAAATGACCACGACTGGGTGCGCCTTTGCAACCAAGTCCCCTACAGTCTGTATGTGACCAGAGGGTGAATGTAATGCCATTGTCATGTGATTATTACATTAAATATATAACATATTCATATGCATCTGATTTAATTTTCAGATGCATTTTATTTTAAAAAGAAGTGTTATCTTACATTTTACACTGCTTCGCTAGGATGTTAACAGAGCAGGCCACGCATAAACTGAAAACGGACAGTTTATCATTATGTCATAAACCAGAGACAACAGAATATCAGTATTGGTTTGTGATGGGCGTAGAGAGCGAGACGTGGGTTGTATCGGCGCACAGGGAGTCATTCAAAGGAGTTATTTTCTTAGCAAGTCTAGTCGCTCGGGCGAGCTCTATTGTATATACTTGGAATTAATAACAGATGGTATATAGCGCCATGTAGTCTCCTAAAGAGGATCGACGTTTCAGAGGTACTTCTACACCAAAGCGGTACGTGATATTCATAAGGTGACCCGCTTGTTTAGTAGGACAACTGTGCTCCAGAAAGTTAAGTTTTTATATTTGAGAAATAGTTGTTCATAATTAATTTTGCTAATGAGAGTTTCTCAATTACATACATGATAAACAAAGGTATGGCTGCGTACATTATATTAAAGAACAACTGCAAATGATATACTATTAATAAATTTAATTCACTTGAATAACGTAGAATACGGTTGGTGTGGCGCAGAATGCTTGTAAGCTGGATGTGTTTTGAATGGTTGGAGGTAACTCACACACGAGTTCATCGTTCTTGCGAATCCCTGGGCATGGGTCACATGGTAGGATGAATTGTCTGTGGAAGGGAGGCACATATATGCTACATCGTTCACCGTCAGTGAGCGGATCGCTCACAGATTACAGGTTTGGATGGATGAGTTTCAGTGGCTCATGTGTTATGCGTTAACATACTATGTTTATTGCGATAGTTGCACACAAGGTGGTTTAGTAGACAATGATGGAATATGAATTCTGGTAGTTTGTTTTCTGTTGACAATGACTAGTCAAAACTGCAAGAAATATTTATTTTGGTTTGCCAACGAACACGTAGATTTCCGTTTGCCTGTAAGTTGTACAGAAAGGGTCGAATTCGTAATACATTCAAAATTATCAACTTACCTAACCTAAGCTGCCCCATCATAATCCAGTCTTATTATCAAACTGCTTAAATTTTTAGTACTAGAAATAAATTTCGGATAATGATAATAACAATGTTCGATGTATATCCTTTTCTTTGCAGGAGATTACATCTATTGCATCCCTATTCAACATTAATATAAGATGGCTTGAAAAACCAAACCAACATGTAAGTATTACATTGTTTGTAGATAGGTATAATTAAAGAAAAGAGTCACACATGTAAGTCTGCGTAAAATATTTTGCAGTGGTACAGAGTCTGGTATGCTATATCCTATGCAGAGGATCTGTTACTTAGAAAACTTTGTAGTAGCACTAATACATTTGTGTGAAAGTGAATACTCTTACCACATGTGTTTGATGTTTTATAAATTAAGGTAGTGCAGTTTTTCTATTTTTATTTCCACGGGATTTCACGTAATTAACGAACTTGCCACATTTTATTTTAGCCTTATTGGGTAGTGGAACTACCTTCTGAAAAAGCTGCTAGGCAGATTGCTAGCCGATCTGTGGGGCTACGCTCTTGCATGGAACTTTGGGCTCAAGCTAAAACAGAAGAAGAACTACACAAGAATGTTCGATCTTACCCCATGGAGCTAATGAAACCATACTTCAAGCCAGATCTGTCATTTAAGATCAGTGTTGAAACATTCTGTAACAGGCAAAGTCAAGCAGAGAAAGTAACAAAAATTGAGGTATGTACATGTAGTGGCTAGCAGCTGTGTCATACGTACAGTTCATCTTTTTTTGGAAAAGAAGAGTTTTGTTAGGAGAATTGGGGTTCATAGCAGTATATATTCATCCCTCATTTAATGTAATTAGTTAATTCCTAATGTTTGTAATGCCATAGTGCCACAGGCTGTGCAAAAATTGCCAGAGTGGTTTATTAAAACTGAGTGTTGCTAGTGAGACCTCTTTTGTTTCCAAAATAAGAATAAAAAATATTATTCCTTTGAAGCTTGTCATTCAGGAATTCAGTGTATACCATGAATAAAACAATACTTCTCCATTACAAAAATTATCTATTGAAGAAATAATCCCTGTTTGCACTGAGTAACACAAACCCATAAATACAAAATGCAGAGTTACTGACCATTAAAGCAGCTGGTACATGTAGTTACCATTTGGCTTTACAATTAATAATTTTTTATGGTTATGCCATCTCTGTGAATTGTATATTGTCATAGTGGATCATGATGGGCCTGACAGTATCTGTCATCGGCATGATCAGTTTCTTTCTCTTAAATCCATATTGCTGCATCTGGACCGGCTCTGCACACCCAGTTTCCTATCCATTGTTTACTGGAGTCCTTTCGTGGGGGTAAAGTGTGGCTGGGGCGTGATGCTGACCGCTCACCCCCATCTAGTGCCTTGGTCAAGAATGAGTAGGAGCTATACGTCCTCTCCCCTCAAGCGACTTACATGGCGTGTAGTGGGATGACTTATTCCATGCACTGTGCCTTATCCTGCTGGTTCATGGTATCTGACCTGATTCAGAAAGACGGATTTAGTGCAGTGGAAACAGTGGATGGTACCATCTACTGGGAACTCAATGAAACTTAAGAGACTTTTTCTTGCAGATAATGCTCAACAGTCTTTTCATAGGTTTTATTCAAGAATAAAGTTGTAAAGATAATTTATATATACCCTGTATGTCTCAAGCTCAGGATAGGGTCCAAAAGTACATTTGTTATGCTGGTGATGAACTTTCAGGTTTATTTGCATTTTCCAGTCATTCAGTTATCTGCCCCTGGAGGGCCCTGTGAAGCTGAATGATCCAGATGTTTGCCTGCAGCTCCTCGAGTATTATGGTCTTGATTCCAATCACATACCAGAGAAACCTTACAACCTCTTTTTTGGACGATGGGTAGGTGTTTAAAGTGTTCTTCGTTTGTTATATTGACTTTGATACTGATCACTGTTTGGTGTCTCAGAAGTTAGGTAAATGCTGTCAGTATACAAATGAGCGGAACAAAAGTTTAATATGGAGAGCTTTAACCCTATGAATCTGAAGATTATTTAAATAATATTTATGAGTTCAGTCTGTACTGTAAAGAAAACATAACTCATCACCATTACAAAGATTAGTTGGTTCATGCTTTTTAAGGAAATAATTCCTGTTTACACTGGGTATCATATGAAACCCATAATTACTAAATGAAATGTTATTGATTGTTGAAGCAGGTGGGAAATGTAGCTACCATTATGCTTTAAAAGGCTAATGTTAAGAAGCTAAATAATACAAAAGTTTAACCTTTTAAATCCCAAGTCAGGAACTCTGCATTTTGTTTTTATGGGGTTTTTTGTAATCAGTTTATCTTTGGAATGGTGAAGTGTTGTGTTTTATTTGTAGTATGGACTGAATTCTTAAATGTTATTTAGATGAGCTTCAAGTTCAAATGGTTGAAAAACAGTATCAAATCAAAATCTGAAACAGGTTTTGTTGTTTGGAAAACTAATGATAGTGTGTACATCAACAATGCTTGGGAAAGTATTAGAATATAAAAATCTCAGCAAGGAAAATTTAGGTGATAAATTAAAGCAGCATAGACAGTTAGATAAAAGGAAGGAGGCTAAATTTGCACTTTGTGCAGAATCCAAACCAATTTGACTGGAGGTAATATGAAAAATAACTTGATAGACGATGAGAGTACTGATCTTCTTGGGGATTTCCAAAACACTTTGAATTTGAATGGGTGGAAGATTTACTGTTGATTGTACATGGGGTTAATGATATTAGACATGCTTACATACATCCAGCTGAGCCATTTGTATAAGCGTCTAATTGTCTAGAGGTTGAGTTTGCTAGTGAAAAGTTATAAGTTGTGAAGTATTGGTCCAATTGTGGCAAAATTGATTCAAGCAGGGGAGAATGCATTATGTTCTGAGATCCACAAACTCATAAATTTTTTTTTAATAAGGAAGAATTGCCAGAGTAATGGAAGGAATCAACACTGTACCTATTCATAAGAAGGATTTTTAAGGTGACTGTGGTAATTATTGAAGAATATCTGTATTATGAAGCACGTATAAAATTTTGTCCTATTTTCTTGTGTTAGGTTAATCGAGTACTTAAACAAACTTACTTGGATTCATCAGTGTGGATTTTGATGTGTTCGATGAACTACTGTTGAGATATCCTGCATATATGAGATACTGGAGAAAAAATGGTAGTACAGTAGGATAGTATTTTACGAAGGACTGGTGGCATGTTAAATGATAAAAAGAATCACGGTTAATCAGTTAATTTGTCAGTAAAAACTTTGCACTGTGTTGCCACACTCAGAAAGCAGAGCAGTACTGACATTGCTAAATGAGACAGCATACAGACTGTTTGAGAAGTTGTAAGTTGTTATCGCTCATTGGTAGTGCTGTAAGTAAACAGAATCTCACCAGCCAAGAACCACTGTGCCTGTTGTACAATGTAGTAATAGTTTTATGATATGATTTCCTGATTTATGTGATGTTCTTATCTAGGAATACCTGTTTCAAATAGAAACCTGTCTGAAATGCAGACTTGTTCATGCCCCCTTGGAATTCTGTTATAAGTAAAATTATATTGTAATGGAGAAGTCATAATTTGGTTTTATGCTAGAGATATAAGTAAAATGACAGACTGTGGATTGGACACTTATTTGTTTCCTGTCAGGGCTATACCTGTACCAGTGTAATGTTCAATCCAGTGTCTGTTGCAGATAGCAGATGGCCAGAGAGATGTGATCACCAAACTCTCCCTCAAGACAAGAAAGTTCATTGGGAACACAAGTATGGATCCACAGCTGTCCCTCTACATGGCAAACCAGGCACTGGTGCGGAATGGAGACCTTGTGCTGGATCCTTTTGTGGGGACAGGCAGGTTCAGATTCTAATCTTTTGTGCTCACAAGTTAATTTGAGAAACAGTGCAAATCTTCATTATTTCACCAATTGATCCTGACCTCATATCATTCACAATGTTTACTGCTTCACTGGTTCAGAACAAACTGAGTGTCTTGGTGGGTAACAAAGAACTTTTCTAATCTGAAGCTTGTAGAAATAGAATATATAAGCCCATTGCACGTGCCTTTAGATGTTGTATCACGTTGAGAAGATAAACACTTCCTGAAGGAGGCAGTAAGTTCTCCGAAATGTTGGGACATTTCTCTTTTCGATATGTCGTAACACACTAAAGAATTGCAAAGTCTGTTGTGACAATCTCAAACATTATATACATAATAAAGGGTTTATAGAATGGCTGATTCTTATCTGGATATTCATAAGTAGTTATACAGCATGCAATCTTGGTACTTGTGTATAATGATCAGCATTGGCTGTTTGCATTTTTACTTTTAATTTTTTACAGCTTATTATGAGCTCTGTAGGGTTTTAATCAAGTGAGTAGTTTTGATAAGGCATATACTATAACCCGGACATATATAATTTGTTCACAATCAGCATGGTAGGTTTTTAAGAAATGTCTATAATTTTAACCTTTTACTTACTCGGTGGTCTAGCGGTTAGAACGCTGGCCTTGTAATCCTGGGGTCTCAGGTTCGATTCCCGGCGGTGCCCGAATTTATGACTTGTGTTGGGCAAGGCCGTGGTCTAGGCAACACGGAGTTTTCCTCCGGGGGCTTCCCCGGTTTCTCCGTGGCATCCCAACAATTACTCCATTCACACACAGAAGAAGGCAATGGCAAACCACTTCTGGATCATCTGCCAAGAACGTATATGAACAGGTCCCAGTCCGAGAAAAGGATGGAAGGATCCTGTTCATATGGACCTGTCGCCAGACAGAACACTAAATAAATAATGTAAACGGAAGCAACAATCATTGTGATTGTGGTTCTAATTTGGAGAAATCACTAGCCAACATATTCAACAGTGTAATAGTATGTAAGAAATGAACAAGGAACACCGGAAGATGGGCTGATCAACCGGAAACATGTAGTAATGTCTTAAATATAAGATGTGAAGATGTATTTATATGTTGTGTTCTTACATTATATATATATTTTTGAACCAATTCAGAATTGTTCTGAAATGTGGCACTCAAAAAAATTTATAACACTTGGGACATCCATATGTTACTGTTTAATTATTTTTCACTTTATTAATATCAAGGTTCATTACTGGTTGCTGCATCCCACTTTGGAGGTTATGTCTTGGGATCAGACATTGATTTCCTTATGTTACATGGCAAGACTCGCCCAACAAGAATACAGCAGAAGGTAAGGGTAAGGGCAAGAGTTCATTGAGTTAGAATTGGCAATTTTGGTTTGGTGTGAAAGGATCACATGTTGTACAGCTCCAGGGGAACCTAATTTTCTGAGTTAAGTGATACTGGTAATATTAATGTAGTGATGCAGCTCTTATATTGCAGAAACATCGTGATAAGGATGAAAGTGTGCGCTCCAATATGCAGCAGTATGGAAAGGACAATCAGTACTTGGATGTCATCGTGGCAGATGCATCTTTGCCACTCTGGCGTCCATCTTTCAAGCTCGACTGTATCATTACAGACCGTAGGTCTCAATATTTATATACATTTCAGAACGGCTTACAGATGAGGCATAATTTAAAGTGGAAGGGAAGGGCACTTACAGATGTAAAGACACAAACTGTAACTGAACATTGTCATGGTGATATACACACCAATTTTGTTTATGAATCATTTGAAGCTAAAGGATTGATGTTCCTGGCTAGCACATTCATACCCACTGTCTGTCTGCACTAATGCGACTTTTCACTGTGATGACAAGAAAGTTTAGATGAAAAACATGAAGAAGAGGAAGGGAGGTATAACTGGGAGGATAGTGTTAAGATGGATCTGCACGAAATTAGGCGTGAGAATGTAGATTGTGTTCAGTTGCTTGAGGATAGAGTCTGGTGGTGGGCTTTTGTGAACATGCTAATGAACCTTTGACTTCCAAGAAAGTTTGGGAACAACTGCACTCTATCTTTTTCTGTAACCATCACTAGCTTACATGTGTGAGGAAATAAGTGACCTATAAACTTTCAGATATGAAGCAACATAAAAATTGAAGATTTCTGTCTTCTGGGTTGTTGCGCTGTGTAGTCTGGTCGATGTTAACCAACGTCTCAGAGGTCATACTGCCTCTGTCATCAGGGCGATGAGTATGAAGATTTCTATCTTCTGGGTTGTTGCGCTGTGTAGTCTGGTCGATGTTAACCAACGTCTCAGAGGTCATACTGCTTCCGTCATCAGGGCGATGAGTATGAAGATTTCTATCTTCTGGGTTGTTGCGCTGTGTAGTCTGGTCGATGTTAACCAACGTCTCAGAGGTCATACTGCTTCCGTCATCAGGGCGATGAGTATGAAGATTTCTGTCTTCTGGGTTGTTGCGCTGTGTAGTCTGGTCGATGTTAACCAACGTCTCAGAGGTCATACTGCTTCCGTCATCAGGGCGATGAGTATGAAGATTTCTGTCTTCTGGGTTGTTGCGCTGTGTAGTCTGGTCGATGTTAACCAACGTCTCAGAGGTCATACTGCTTCCGTCATCAGGGCGATGAGTATGAAGATTTCTGTCTTCTGGGTTGTTGCGCTGTGTAGTCTGGTCGATGTTAACCAACGTCTCAGAGGTCATACTGCTTCCGTCATCAGGGCGATGAGTATGAAGATTTCTGTCTTCTGGGTTGTTGTGCTGTGTAGTCTGGTCGATGTTAACCAACGTTTCAGAGGTCATACTGCCTCCATCATCAGGGCGATGAGTATGAAGATTTCTGTCTTCTGGGTTGTTGCGCTGTGTAGTCTGGTCGATGTTAACCAACGTTTCAGAGGTCATACTGCCTCCATCATCAGGGCGATGAGTATGAAGATTTC